ATTCAAATAATCGTCAAACTATTGACCTCAACACACTTTCAGGATGAAGCTAACCGAAAAGGTGGCTTTAGCAACCGGCACATTGGTATTATAGCTTCATCGTAAATATGACCTCTGCTATCCGTTTTCATCTCGCTCTCCGAATCGAACGTGTTCATAGTTGGACTCGCTTTAGAACGTTCTCGGTCAGCAACTCTTTAACTCTCTTCTTCATACAGAGTGGCATCCTCGCGCGCGTCCCCTGCTGACTGAATCAATTGGATAAATGGTAGCTAACTGTTACTGTTGCAAGAGCAACAAAATTACTTTCTACAGATATATCAAGACGGAAGCCTTGTCCCGCACGATCCAGTGATATTTTCTGGCAATTGAACGGAACTTGAATACTTTCTCTCTCGTAACTGTGAGCGATTCAATCAGATAAAGAAGTTTTGATACTTTGAAATTTTAAACACTAAGAGATCCATTAAAAGTTGCAACATTTTCTAATGCACTTAAATTGACGTTCAAACTTCTTTTGGCGCAATAATTACATTTTACAGTGTAGTTAAAAAAACTTTTCCTCAAGACGACCCGTTATGTTAAACTTTAGAAAAAGTATTTAACCGACCTAACTGCGGCCACTATTCTCAGTTTAGAACCCATGAAACTTGCTTACGACATTTTAAAGCTGAAATTTTAAAGTTGACGGCTCCGACAAACTTCTAAATGAGCCCGAAATGTTGGAAAAGAAGTCGGGGAGACTGTATATTGGAGATTTATGGTTATCTTTTTGGCACAGGGTTTTGGGGCAGGAAGATATACGAGTGGGAGCTATTGCGTTGCTCATGATAATCTGGTCTATATTTATAAGGATATTGAAAGAAGCTTAGGATTTTATTAAGAAATACTATCGGTTCTTCTAATTACTATCGGAAATTTTTATTGGAAATAGGTACCTACTCACTTTTATTTCCAATCTCGTCTTGTTTATGTTGTAAATCTATTATTATCCGAAGTCTATTGCAGATACTTAATGGAGTAGGATCAAAGAACAATTATGAAAGTGAATCCAGTTTTTATTATTGAAAAGCCAGTTTTTATGGCAGAACTACTCGAAATGTGTGTCTATTATACAGGGTGTCCCCGATCCACTGGTCAAAAATACTAGGGTATAGGACACCGATGGTCGGAAGTGCGTCGTTTCCAAAATACAGGGTGTTAAAATTTAAACAACCCCCTTTCATGTCATCTGAAGAGCTAATGCTAGGCTGTTCAAATTTTCAGGGATTATTGATTTTGAATGATATTTAAGAATTCGTATAATGCACCCCTATTTTCTACCTGGAACCACATAAAAAAAATACAAATAAATTTGAAACAAATTGCTTTTTTTCAAATGATTGAATGAATTGAACGAGGACACCCTGTTTAGCCACATCCTTCTATTTCCTTTGGTTTCCATAGAAAAAGACATCTAAAAGAAAATCTCGATTTTTGATCTATGTAACTGTAACCCCGATTTAATTGTTTTTGAAGAAAAAAGCAATGATTGAGTTGTAGAAGGAAATATCGTAATCCCTTGCTACACATCGGCCTTCAACCTTCGATCTCAGCACAAAAAAATACACTTCTTGGCCTAATGACAAAATAACATATAAATTTAATTGTTTAGTACATTGTATATATCAATCATCATAATAAATTGTATATATAATTGATAACTACCCAGAAATTGATATTATTTTAATTATTTGAACTTTGCAAATGACAAATAGGTACTCGTATGCCACCATAATTCCCTCAACAGTAATTTAATTATCATCCAAACGGAATATCAGATGTTAATGTAATGTGGTGGGTTTGTTCATTGATATAATTCAATTTGCCAATGGGTCTTGCATATTAGGTTATTGATTCATTTGGGTATTTGTAGAGGTCTCGGTAGTTACCCAGAAACAAAAAAAACAATAGTGGGTATATTGATAGTTCCAAAAGGGTCTATAGATTAGCTTTGAATCAGTCCCATCCTATAGGTAATTGGGTCAAAGTAATACCGAAGTGATTAAAGACTTCACTAAATGGTCCATAAATTATTAAATAGGCCCTTTATATTAAAATGTCATGAAAAGCATTATTTTAAATCGATAGTAAAAAGAATAAATTTGAATTTCGTACAAAAACTTGGTATCAAATTAGGATAAATGTTACAACTGAATTCGAGAAGCTCCCAAAAGATTACATATCGCAACCAAAACGTTTTGTAAGTTTTATTGCCTTAATATTTCCTCAAGAATTAGGGGTGAAATTTATTTAGTCCAGCTGCAAACCTAATACGCCATTATACCTAAAATATTACCCTTGATTTATCGTAGGCTGCGACTTGGGGTGTTTGTTAAAAAGGTAATTTATATGCGAAATAAATGGCTATCTATTGGTTGATTGCCTCCGGATTTTTTTTATCGAATGCCTATGGATGTGATTTTTAGTTTCCAGAACCTGATATCTTGCTATGTTGTGTTTATTTTTAATTTCGAAATTTATCAATTATACTGGTAATGGTGATCAAATTTGTCTAATAATAATTTATAATTAATATATAATTCTTATTCACCTATCACTAATTTAGTTTATCTATTTGTTTATTCAATTCGGATATTAAACAACGGCATTAGTTTTAAATAGCAATAGAAAATTTAAAAAACCTAAATGATGAACAGTACATCAAATAAGTAACGGCTAACTCGGTATCAGTTGGTTATACAGGGTATTATTATTCTCTAATGGTTGTTTCCTTTCTTCTTCCACTCCTTCTTTTTGCATTATTTTTGTTCTCCTCACTTCTTCTTCTCCTCCCATCTTTTTGTGGTCATCACTGACCAATAATATCAGTAGCCAATTTATTAAACCGTTTTATTATCGATATTCAAGCTATTCATCAACTTTTTCTTTCTGATTGATTATACATAAATTTCTTCCATGGAATAGATCAATTTTTTTATTTTTTTTATTGACCAATGACCACAGATTCCAAATAAACAATATTTGAAAAATTTGGGCAAACATTTTTAGGTTGAATTAAGTGAACCTGGAAATTTTCTTCGCAACACATCAGATGTAGTACATACATATTATGATTAGATGGATTTGATACTGCATTAGCTTACCTCAAGATAGAGCACAAAATATATGACTTTCAAACAAAACTTCGTGCAGTATGAAATTGGAATATCTATATATATAAAAATGAATGCCACTTTTCGTTGTAATTTTATAACTCAAGAACGGACTTACCTAGCCAAACCAAATGTTTAGGTTTTGTTCAGACTATTTATTAGATGGTTTATGTGAAGTTTGCACAAAATCGGTCGAGCGGTTCTTCATTTATCACATTTTTTGTAAATAAATAGAGGATCATTCTGTTAATGGGGATTTTGCTGTTAAATTGAAATTTTTTTCAGCGTTGACAGTACCAGCATGTTGTTATGTCATTAATGTGGTCATTCCATTACTTATCTATATATATCAAAATGAATGCCACTTTTCGTTGTAATTTTATAACTCAAGAACGGACTCACCTAGCCAAACCAAATGTTTAGGTTTTTTTCAGACTATTTATTAGATGGTTTATGTGAAGTTTGCACAAAATCGGTCGAGCGGTTCTTCATTTATCACATTTTTTGTAATAAATTAAATATTCAATAAATGGAGGATCATTTTGCTGTCAAATTGAAACTTTTTTCAGCGTTGACAGTACCAGCATGTTGTTATGTCATTAATGTGGTCATTCCATTACTTATCTATATATATCAAAATGAATGCCACTTTTCGTTGTAATTTTATAACTCAAGAACGGACTCACCTAGCCATACCAAATGTTTAGGTTTTTTTCAGACTATTTATTAGATGGTTTATGTGAAGTTTGCACAAAATCGGTCGAGCGGTTCTTCATTTATCACATTTTTTGTAATAAATTAAATATTCAATAAATGGAGGATCATTTTGCTGTCAAATTGAAACTTTTTTCAGCGTTGACAGTACCAGCATGTTGTTATGTCATTAATGTGGTCATTCCATTACTTATCTATATATACAGGGTGAATCTGAAAGTGAGGGTTTTTTTTTAACAGGGTATATATCTCGCCAAAATAAGTTGTTTGGCAAAAAATTGTTTATATAAAAAATTTAAGATAACGGAGTTACAGGTATTTTTAGGTTTTTGTACAATAAAAATCTAATTCCAAAAATCGAAGATTTATTAAAGAAAATAATATAACAATTATCACAATAATTGTTCAAAAGTATCCCCATTTGTCTGATGTGCGCATAGTGTTGCTCGGCGAATCCAAGACTCAGTGCAAGCTTGTAGAATGAAATTTTCGCGTCCTCGAATTGTTTCACTTGCATTTTGGATTCGATTACGTAGCTCTTCCAAAGTATTTATTTCTGAGGCGTAAACCAAACTTTTCATGTACCCCCACAGATAAAAATCACATGGGTTAAGGTCCGGCGACCGTGGAGGCCAAAAAATTGGTCCATTTCGTCCCACCCACCTATTAGGAAACTGACGATTTAGGTAATGTCGAACTCGACGACTAAAATGGGGTGGAGCACCATCGTGTAAGAACCACATTACTTGACGTATGTTTAAATTCAAATCTTCTAGCAATACCGGTAAATTACGTCGCAAAAATCTAAGATAGTTTGCACCTGTCATCCTATCTGGTAGAAAAAAGGGGCCGATAAGCATGCCATCAATCATTCCAGCCCAAACGTTAAGAGAAAACCTTTGCTGGAAGTTAGTTCTGCGAACAGCATGCGGATTATCCATTGACCAAACATGAGTATTCCGAAAATTGCTTACACCGTTTCTCGTAAAAGTTGCTTCATCGGTAACTAAAACATGTCTCGTAAAATGTTCGTCATGTTCATGTTGTTGTAAAAGCCATAGACAAAACTGCACTCGCTGGGGATGATCACGGGGCATTAGGGCTTGAACACGTTGGACATGATAGGGATACAATTGCTCCTGTCGTAGCGTGTGCCAAACTTTCATTTGACTGACACCCACCCGTCTTGCAATTTCTCGTGAACTAGTTGTGGGATCATCGTCAATCAAATTAATAATTTCCTCTTCAACTGCAAGCATTTGACGCGGTCTACCCCTTCCAGCATGTCTTCCCCGATTTTCCCGTAATTCTCCATAATCTCGAGCCCTCTGAATTAGACGCACAAATGCAGCTGGTTTGGGGTGGATACGTAATGGAAAACGTTCAGAATAAGCACGCGAAGCTGCAGCAGCATTTTGATGGCATTCGCCGTAAATTAGGATCATATCCACCAACTCATTGTTCTCGTACACATGTGCCATTACAAGGAAACAACACAAATTGAGGCAATCACAAAAGGAAAACTATTTTTGATGTCTGATGAATGCCACTTTTATCATAAATGCTGGAAGTCATACACACATTTCCTTTTTGGACAAGTTATTTTATGTAGCTAATGCGCCACCGATATACCATTTGTTTACATTTTTTTGTGCCGCGGTTTATTGTGACAACGGGTTTTTTTTGCACCTTTTTTTTGAGAAAATGTAAACAAAATGTTTTATAGTTGGAGTCTTCTTTAAACCTAAAAATACCTGTAACTCCGTTATCTTAAATTTTTTATATAAACAATTTTTTGCCAAACAACTTATTTTGGCGAGATATATACCCTGTTAAAAAAAAACCCTCACTTTCAGATTCACCCTGTATATCAAAATGAATGCCAGTTTTCGTTGTAATTTTATAACTCAAGAACGGACTCACCTAGCCAAACCAAATGTTTAGGTTTTGTTCAGACTATTTATTAGATGGTTTATGTAAAGTTTGCACAAAATCGGTCGAGCGGTTCTTCATTTATCACATTTTTTGTAAATAAATAGAGGATCATTCTGTTAATGGGGATTTTGCTGTTAAATTGAAACTTTTTTCAGCGTTGACAGTACCAGCATTTTGTTATGTCATTAATGTGGTCATTCCATTACTTATCTATATCAAAATGAATGCCACTTTTCGTTGTACTTTTATAACTCAAGAACGGACTCACCTAGCCAAACCAAATGTTTAGGTTTTGTTCAGACTATTTATTAGATGGTTTATGTGAAGTTTGCACAAAATCGGTCGAGCGGTTCTTCATTTATCACATTTTTTGTAATAAATTAAATATTCAATAAATGGAGGATCATTTTGCTGTCAAATTGAAACTTTTTTCAGCGTTGACAGTACCAGCATGTTGTTATGTCATTAATGTGGTCATTTCAATACTTATTTTATTTATTTATGAAAAAAATTTACTAAGCCCGCATACGGCGCCATGTCTTATAACCGATACCAAGTTTATTTTGTATTTTGTATACCGCGCCATCTCTGATACCTGGAACGAAGCTCGGCATTGCAGATAGAGTAGAACAATGCTGCACAGAACTATTCCGATCAGATAGAGTGGTGCAGAAAGAGTAGGTCAGATAGAGTAGCGCAGATAGACCAGAACAGATGGAGTAGTGCAATGCATGCAGTGCAGATAGAGTGAAATAGGGCTGCGCTAGAGATTTTTTTGTTTTCTTTACATTCTTTGAACATTCCTGTGCCTGAGTTTATTTATTTGGTGGTAAACTTTACAAGAATAATGCCCACAAGCTGCCTAAAAAACGATGATGAAAAATTTTAATTTTAGGTGACTTCTGATCCAGAGAGTAAACATTAATTTTCATCAACCAAAGCCAAATTCACCATCGAAAAAAGCTGAATTTAATTCAGCTAATAGATACATTAACACAACGTTTAATAGGTATATTTAATAATTCAGAGGCGGTACGAAGTTCGCCGGGTCAGCTAGTCTATCATAATTATGTAATACCAAACAGAATTCAATTGAGTTATAGCATCTGAATTCACGGAATAGTTTATTAATTATGAAAATATATTACACTATACATTACAAGTTTACTGTATAGATTCACGACCTGGCTAATCTGTTTCGTTCGACGGATTGGAAGGCAAAACGCAACAGCTGATCCACTGCAAAATTTACGTGACTGAAATGACGGTTAACTACAAAATTTAAATAGTTATTTATTTGTAATTGCCACTCTATCAGCCTATAACTAGCTAGGTGAAGGGATGTGAATAGTGAACAATGACACTGCAGAATCCTCAACAAGACTGAGAAGATATTTTAAATCCATTATATTACTGAAAAAATATCATTGAGGCCAAAAACTACTATTAATTGAGGAAATTGACAGAAAGACCCATAACCACAAAATACAAAAGAAAGAAAAAGAGGATGTCGTTTTGCGTTCGGTATTTCAAGAGTACCCATTTTGTTTGCTAGGCCCATCAACTAGCTGGTTTCAATATTTCAAGAAATGAATATATTTGATAAATTCGGACTTTTTGCTTTGTTTCGGAGATTGAAATTTACCAGTTTTTAGAAGTTTTTAGTTAAACTGGTATAACCCGCTTCTGGTACTAAGGCAGTTTTCTCTTTGTGATCTTTGTGTATTGCCAGTATCCACTCTTAAGATCCAAGGTGGAAAACCATTTGGAGACCGATACAGTTGTTAATGTATTGTGTATCCTTGGAAGAGGGAAACTGTCCTTCTTTATGACGTCATTAAGGTTACGGTAGTCCACACAATATCTAAGACTTCCATCTTGCTTTGTAACCAATACAACTGGCGCAGACTATGTACTATTTGACTCTTCAATAATTCTCTCTTGAAGCATTTCAGCAATTTGGTTTTTCTACTTCCCGTTTTTCTACCTTCTAGTAATAGTTTCGTCATTTCCTCCACGAAATTACTCATAACATGTTCGAAGCTACCATCCTCTTTTGACGATAGCTTTTCTTTTGGGTCTTCAATGGACACTGCTCGTATTCTGGGTCGTGAGGCACCAAAGATAGCTTCCAGTTACAATGCTCGGACAAGGGCATCGCTATTTTTTCTGAACTTAGACATTCTCAGGTTTGCCTGGATCTTGGAATCTCTGAGACCATCAATAAACGCAGATACTGCCATCCATTCCTGCAACTTCCGATCCGAATTCTTGTGAATTCTCGTGGGTTTTTTGAATTCTTGATTTAGTTTGAGTTCTAAATACTTCTCGTCTGTAACGTCTGACTTAGATGCTGATAATTCTGTTGTTAGATTGAAGGAATTGACTGAAGAAGATCTAAGGCAGGTCCTCGTAGCGCCACTATCAGTGTTGTAGCTTTTTCTTGATCGTTCCATCCGTTGGTATTTGCAGTAGCTTCAAATTGTCGGATATACATGGTCCAGGACGTAGAACCATCAAAAGTTGGTGGTTTTATCTTCATACTAGAGAATGCTCCAGCACTACCTGGATTGATGGACTGTATTTCTAATTTATTTACCTTATCTTCAAGTGCTTGAACTTGGTCCTCAACTTCTTGTCCTAATTGCTGAACATCGGCTTTGACCTCAGCTTTTACTTCCTAAACGTCGTTTTTAACTTCTCGAACGTCGTCTGTAACTTCTTGAACATTGTCATTAACTTTTTGAACATCGTCTTTAACTTCTTGAACATCGCCTCTAACTTCGGCTTTTACTTCCTTAATCTTTTGTTCTAGGTTAGCGACAGATCCTTGTATGGTTTGAAATGTTTTCTGCAGTTTTCCAATGTCTTCTCGCCTTTCTTGTTTTCGTTTGACACTTCTTCTTGTTTTTTTTTTCTGTCGTTTAACTTCTTCTTGTTGTCGTCTAGCTTCTTCTTGTTTTTCATGTTGTCGTTTGGTCTCTTGAAGTTCCAACATTCTGCGCAGAAGTTTTTCAATTTTTTGTTCTTCCTCTGAAATGATAAGTTTTTCCTCTATAATAATTAAAAAAAAAAAGTTTCACTCTATGGGTTACCCTAGCTGCTCAGACAATATCATTACAGAGGCAATGGGTAGTGGGTTAAGGGATGATGTTTTCATTTTTGGGTGCCAGACCTATACAAGTCGAAATAAAACTAAAACTCGAAATTAAATAAAAGTTAAATTTCCTTTTATTTCGTATTCGAAAAATTCAAGGTAGGTAGTTTTTTATATGTTACGAATTATTTACAGATCCAGGCCTACAAGGTCAAAAATAATAAAATACACTGACTGATGAAATTATTTACCTCCCAAACTTTATAGGTGATTCAAACTTACAATATGTATTTACACTATGTATGCTGTAACCAAACTCTAAAATTTAAATTTCAAATAATACATCAATTTCAATACTAAATGGTCATCAAACTATGTGAACAATAGTTTACGAAATTTAATAACAAATTACACCAGAATTGTATCATTGAAATCTGTATCTATATAGAAACAGGAATGAAATTCTCAGCAAACTATTTCTGCATCTAAAAACTTGAAAATCTGAATACTAAAAGTGATGATTATCCAAAATTTTATAATTCATGTAGATTACTATATCAAATTCTGAGGTAATTAACTCATAAAAAAAGTGATCCTGATCATCGAGCCAAATAATAGAATAATTGCTTAAAATTTCACATGCTCTAATGGATTTACTCCGCGGAATTTACACCATGTTATGAAGAAAATTTCTCCAATATTTCGCAATCAGCTCAAACACACTTTCACCGAGTCTTAAATAATTTAAAAAATAATAAAAGGGTGATTCAGAATTCAAATACTTAACTTGTATTTTCAAAATTCAAATTCGATGCTTGGAATTTTATGTTAAAATTTAGGAATTGAAATTAAAATGGTCTAAATAGGTAATGAGCTCAATTTAGTTAGGAAATTTTTATTTATGGAAATATTAAACTGAGACAGGTTATGCAGAAACAATTTTTAGCTTAAAATGCTTTAAAAATCTTTAACTGAGATTGAGACTGAAATGCTGCAGAAATAATTTGATTGATTAAATTCACAGACTTGAAAAATTATTACAATTTGAAACTGATTTGAGTTAGGCACAAAGGACCCCGCAAATTTCTTATGGAAAAGTGATCTATGTGGAATTTTGCTGAATTTTTGATATTGTATATAGGGAGTCGTCCTTAACAAAAGTGTTCATTGCGCTGATGTTCAATACCCAACAGTTTTCAAGATATCAATTAAAAACTTTTTTAATATGATACTCTTCAGTATGACGTCACTCACAGCAACGAAAATTATTACTATCCTTTCCACTTTTGACTTTGACTTGACTCTTCTCCTTTTAACATTAAGAAAAAAAAAAGATAGCGATAGCGATTAGTGACAAATAAGTAGGTATTGTAAACAACACCTAGCTCCTGCCGCAATCGTCAACTTCATGTCATGATGTCTGTCATATAGCGATTTCATTTGTACCTG